CTGTATGTGGTGGAATTCTTTTGCGTTTCGACGATTTATCAAAAAACCGGAAAGATCTAATATTATCCATGAATAATAAATAATTTCTGAGGAAAAAATTGCCATCATGGGACCACATGATGTTAGGAATAAAAATTTGGATGTTTATGAGTATCTCGAATATTATTTTATTATTTTTTGGTTTGAAGGATGAACACATTTAAATGTAATACTTAGAAGTTAGAATGTAGTTATCAACGCGAGAACATCGTGAGTAGCTCCGCAAGTCCCAAGATAAAATTAATTACTAAATAGTACGTTAGGACGAGTATTTTTCACTCCCCGGAAATAATGCCCAATTAAAAATATGCCAAAATCAAAATCGTCGAAAAATGACCGGGTCAGATGAAAGGACCCCCTTTAGTAGACACTGTACTCAAAATATAAGAGACTGAAATTTTGGACCTTCAATCTATAATAATAATATTGTTACGTTTATAACAGAAAAATTTTTTTTTAATGTTGGTTTTAAAAAATACAAAAATGAATCACTCCGTGATCGCATAGTCAATTTATTATAGAGGTGGCGTAAAGTTGCACATATGCAASGTTGTGGATTTTATGTTTATATCTGTCTCGTTGTGAATGACGGGAAAAAAATATAGATTTTGTATTTTGCAGAATATGCATTGAAATTTTTTAATTTGTTTCGCCATCCAGATTATCTCTCTACGATCAGTCAACAGGATGGGGTTGCACATTTTTAGTCCCCAACGTTTAAAAAAAAAAAATTAAAAATAAGGAAAGAAAGTTTATATCCGGTACAGTTTCGAAATATTAATATACAAATATATTATTGCCTATAATAAAATAGTCCGGGATTAAAATGTACAAAATTTTGAAATTTATTACTTTTTGAATCATCACGGAAGAAGTTGCATTTTTTTTTTTATAGATTGAGTCTTATGTCTTTTTGGACGATATTTTTATCTTTAGTAGTAGTGTTGTTAATCATTAACGTGGCAGTGAAAAAATTAATCAATTATCAAACCATCGCAGTTATCATAGTTGTTTTCCATGTGAAATGTTTTCAGAGTTTATAGCTTTATCAGACAACAATATAACATCATCTATATAGGTCAAACAGAAACTTCCTCCCCTGTCGTCTAATTTCATGTTAGTAATTTAAAAATAACACGTCAATCAGCTTTATTACACACTTTATATTATATTGGAGGATACATTTGTGTTTGTTTTGTTAATATGTTGCCAATATCAATATATTATTATGTTTATAAAACACAGTCTGTGAAATCACATGCATTAATTTTGTTTTTATATCAATAAAGAATGGCTGAAGGTCCAAATGTCTATTGTAAATATATATATTCCACATCGCAAAAAGCGTGTACAAAAATATGAAAAWAACTTTAGAAGTGTAATAAAATTATGATATTCAATTCTTATACATTATACATAAATTATAGACTAAAAACTAATAAGGCAGTAAAAAATATGAATTTAAAACATTATTTGAACATRTCAAAGAATCGATTCATCGACAGTTTGTCATATACATTTAGGCACATAACAGGACTTTGTTACTTTAGCTTATATCATCGTTATTGACGGTAATATGTAGGTAAACTCATTGAATTTATGTATATTTCAAAGTATAAAACATTACAATTGTTCAAATATAGAATTCGTTGTTATTAGGTAAGTATGCCCAAAGTAAGAAATACGCCTAAAATGAATCTAGTTAACTAAAAAAATAAAAAAAATAAATATCATATTAACATACAATATAAATAAATATTTCTATTAGGTACAATACTAGTTTTCGACAAAAATTTTACGTTGAAGTTGGTAATAAAAGTGATGCACAACACAAAGAGAATATTTGATGGATTTCATCATCTATTGAAGAGGACAAAATATCAATGATAATTAGACTGTTGTCAAGAGGTAGTGATACATACAAGACGCATCTGAATTTATTTCATGATATTTAAACATGGAATAATATTAGTATTGTAGATAAATGAATAAAAAAAAAGGTTTTTTGCATATTCCTATAATTCTACATGTGTAAATATTRCCTGATAGGATGTATCAAATCTACGTTGGGATTTCCAAAATTAGAATTTTTTAATCAACATCTGCATTAATTAAATTTACGAGTAGGCAATTRAAAATAAAATATACATAATTTGAAATTTTTAATGTAATTATTAAAACTTTGATAGCTTCAACAAATTAAATCGTTTAAAATTAATAAAAAAATACGATTCAAAAGATTTTACTATTTTGGAACATGCTGTATGAAATAGACAATGATTTCCCAAGTTTGTAATAGATACTTATAGCTGTA